ATAAATCTTTTGATTTGTTCACTGTACATCTAAAAAGTATCATACTCTAATCTGCATCAAATTTGTATACTGCACATTTATTTAGTTAAATACTTTTTTTATTTCAACTAAATAACTTGAGTCCACTGGCTTAAAGGAAATCTTTACATTGCTAGATGAGCCCTAAACAGTTGTTCCTATTAAAATCATGGAACATTTCAGGCAACTATAGTTGTAAAAATTGTAAAACTGCAATTAAATACACAGCTAATTTTACTGTTATAGTTTTGATTAACTGTCTTACCCAAATATTATGAAAAATTCACTCATACGGAATTAATAAAGATTTAATACCGGGAAGCCTGAATATTCACTTACCATAAAGTTGTAATTTTGTAATGCCAGATAGTGTGCATTACTTTTTACTTTCTCCCCCATTCATATATATATATATATATATGGAGAAAGTATCATTATCGTCACAATTTAGAGTTTGAGTTTTGAGTGGATATATTAGTTTTGAGTCTCTCTGAACCCAAAAAGAGATTAAAAGAGTTAATGTTCCCCAAATGATGAAGACCCAAAAGAGAACCCAAATTTTGATTAAATTTGGTATGTTAGTACTAATTTATAGTATCTCGAGGATTTTTTCAGTTTTTAAATAATTAATTTTTAATGGTGATTTTTCCATAAACACGATAAAATTACGGAAAATCGATTTTTCTCAAAAATGGCCCGAACGATTTTGGTAAAAGTTTAGTATGTTATAGCCCTTTAAGTTCTAGAACAAAATGGCATAACTCCCATTCCTGAAAAATTGCGGTTCAAAAGCTTTTGCAGCTTTTGTGATTAGCCATATAAAATATCTTGGTTACTCCCATCACCTATTCATGATAAAGTTTGACAAGCGAATGGGTGAAATAAGATTATAGCATTGGCGCTAAGTCAACCTAAAACCTACGCAAATTCAAGACGAATCTTCTCATGATACATTCATCGCAAAACTATTTAACCATTCTTGTAGTTACATACTTGGCACAAACTTAAACACGAACTGCAAACTGCAACCTAATACTAAGTTGTGAGTTGACGTGTTTTAAGGCTTGGTTACGTTGTTGCAGGAAAACATGAAACATCAGTCCTACATAAATACTCTGATGGAAGCCAAATACAAAGTTGGGGCTAACATACGAACTTATGAAACAGTTATCTGTTTATATAAATGTTCTGTTCTACAGTACACACCACGATAAAAACACACTGTAAAGCAAAATAATAGCATTATTTACTTCACTTTTCACCCGGTGCTATTCGTTTTGAGTGGTTATCTTCACGTGGAAAGTTTTGTCGTTTTCTAACTTAGTTTGCTTGAATAATAGTGCAATATTACGAAAAATATACTTCATCACACGGGCAAAAAGTGTCTTTCAACCTTCGACCATTTTCCGTCCTCGGTTTCACCTTAATCATAAAAATTTGAATTATGGTCGAAAAAAAAAACACTTTAAGCCCTAGTGACAATTTACAATTTACTATTTCTGCTAGCTATGCTTGTCAAAGTAAATGAATTTAGGATGTTTAAATGGCATTAACTAAAACTTCACTGGATATCCCAACAGATCTTCTTATGTGATTTTGTAAATTTATATGTTTGATTCATAACACCCTACACGTCTCTAATATTCATACTAACAACATTTAACGAGTGATAAGTAGTTTATTTCCCTACGAATTATAGCTTGCAACTTTTAAAGAGAAGGAAATATAAAAAAAATAAAGAAAGACTTTCCCATATTTTTCCTTTCTCAGAACAAAATAAAAGGAACAATACTTTTCTATTATTGGTTTGTACTAAGTTTCGCAATGAAAGTTCAGTGTTATACGAAGATACGATTGAAACAGCGACTTTACTTTAAATTCTAGTTGTACCATTATCGATCCTTTGTTTTCATATGATTTTTATGGATTTAAGAATTTCACAATGTAGAATAGCTGTTATTAAATTTATCTTGCAGTTGGTAGTACGACAGGCATGACAGAAGGGTATTTTATGAATAAAGGTTTTAAATTATTTTTACATAATCAAGAAAAACTATGTAAAAACTATAAGGTAGATTGAATATCTTGAGCAGATTTTTTTGTATGCTCACCCTCAACAAGAAAGTCTCCTTTAACATGTTACACTATTATGTTTTCATGTTCGAGTCACCAATATATTCTGATGCACACTAAAAATAGGTAAAATTTAAATTATTTATATAGACAAAACAGGGAACTTATCCGTTTATACACTACCACTGTGTGTTGTAACGTTTAAATACTAGAAACTATTTAAAAATCCTGTTTAGAATTGGATAATTTTATGCTTGGTTGCATTAGAACCAAGACTTAACATGGAACTTCAATTGTAAATCGTTACATACACTTTTATTGTGGTAGACAGTTGACGGAAAAGGTGCCAACAGAATATTTTATTTGTCTTTATTATTGGTAAACCTATGTATTTAAATCAATGCTGCGAGTTTTTAATTGGAAACTCCGTTCTGAATGCTGATGGATTTTTTTCTCCAGATCAAACTTCAGTATTGTGGGGAGATTTTCCATTGTTTGATTTTATAAAAATTGCAGGCAATCTAAATATTAATTTGGGAATATATTATGTATCTGGAAGTTTCAAACTATACTATTTTCTTAAAGGATATAAAATAATATTTCTACAATAAATTAATTATCAATAACCAAAAATCTCAATTCATGGGTGGATTTCAATGTTAATAAGCCATTTGATGAATATACAAACAATAAGTAAATCAACTATTTGTTCTCATAGTAATATGCTTTTTACATAACGTTGCATTGCTTAAAAATAAACTAGTGTACATGGCTGTGACAGATCTGGACTCTGTGAGTAGTTAGTAGTTCCATGTCAAATGTTTTTTGTAATGGGTTCATAGTTTGAACGTGGTTTTGAAGAAGTTTTTGTAGGATTTAACAATGACGCTTTGTCGTCGAAACGCGTAATCCTGTACTTGGGATGACAATAATCACTCGGCATTTAAAGTAATAAATGGTGCGCCAAAATAACCTGACGGTTTTTAATACTAAATAACTCAAGAACAAACTACAATTTCATGTATTAAATAACGTTATATTGTTCACACTACTATGCCATTTTCATTTATGAAAAATTATATCACTCAGTTTATATCGCCTTCTCCTAAACACAGGCTTCCCATTTTTTTGCATATTTGCAGTCACCTTCGCGTGATGAATAGAAGCAATCTCTTCCCTGAGACACTGCTTGAGTTCAGGGATGGTTTGAAATTTCGAAACAAATCTTTTGCTTTTTAAGTATCCCCACAGCCAACAGTCACACAAAATTAAGTCTGGGGATCGAGCTGACCACCGCACATCACCAAACCAAGAGATCACTTTACCGGCAAAGAGTTCACGCAAAACTGACATTGAATAATTTGGATGTATGCCAAGTTGCGCCGTCCTGTTGAAACCACGTGTTAGTCATGTCTATCCCTCATAACATCCGCAGTTGTGGAACCAAAAAACCCCTCAGTATTCCCAAATAGCGTTCCGAGTTCACGGTGACAGGGGGGTGTTCCCACTTTCGTCCTCAAAAACATATGGTCCGATGACTCCAAACAGTGCCACACCACACTGCACCACACTAGACAGTAACTTTCTTTTGACAACGTGATGTTTTACCAAACATAACCTAAAAATGGCATAACATAAGCAATCGTTCACTATTGTTGGGACCACATAAGTTTGCAGTTGGTGGCAGCCAATCACAAGACAAGGCTAGTGCGACGTTGCCACATCGCCAATGACAACGCAAATTAAAATATACAAAGCAATATTTTCAAATCAGCTGGTATTATTAGATTTGGCAACACCGCACCGTTCTCATTGGTTCATTCAAAAGCATATGGTAAATAGGCTCCTCCCTCAACTGCAAACTTATGTGGTCCCGACAATACAACAATGAGGTCTCTAGCTAGTATAACAGCTGACTTATTACAAAACAGAAACCGTCAGGTTTTTTTGGCGCACCCTATATAAACATGTTCACTTCCAAACATACCTTAATAATAAATATACATTATAGTATGATGACTGACCATTTGTTGATGGGTACTACCACAGGTTGTTTTTTGTTTCGTTGCAGTTAAAGTAAGGAAGTTAGCTATACACTCATGTAAAAAATATTACATCATATATTCATTCATATATTCATATATTCATTGAGGGATGGCAGACCTGGTCTGCAATAGATTGACACGGATTGTGACTCTGCTTTTATTTTATGTTTCATCCTTGTTATTTGGCAGTGACTTTTTTATTAGTGTGTCTCAACGCTTTTTTAATATTTGGAGGACCAATATCGTCTACGAACGATGTCAAACGTCTGTAAGCAACTGATTGTCACACTCAGTAACTAACACCAGCTCAACCAGTTGAAGAAAGACATCTCCATCACTCCATCTTCGCTACATCTTGACGTTCTGCGCAGACGTCGTGCGCCGCTGCCAACTGTCGGGCGACCACAGCGGTAAATGTCCGCTTGTCACTAACCGCTGTTTGACGACCGACTGGCGCTGCCTACCTAGCCGCTGCGAAGGATTTATGTTGCGCCTTCAGCTTCTGCGCTGCAACTTCATCACCTGACTGTGTTGTAGGCTGGCATTTACGTTTGTGAAGGTTCGAATACGCTCATCTCCACAAACTTTTTATTTTTTGATCTCAACAAACAATTTGGCCTTAGTAGTTAGTTCCTACTGTGATTATGAAAGAATTTATTTATGAAAACCTTTTGACACACTGGGATGATGCCCAAGAAGCTACTCTACTGGCATTGTCGAGAGAACTAAATGTTCTGTCTGCCAATAATCCTGGTATTACCTTTGACTCGATTTCATCTATAATTACAGATTTACTTCAATTAATGGACAATTTAAATGTTAAGATTAACAATAAGGAAAGTGATCTTCAGTCTTTAAATGCAGATTTGAACTTGTTAACCGCAAAATTGAGTGTCGAGAAGGACATTAGACAAGAGGAGATGAATTCGTCTTTTAAAATCCAAGAACAAACGGAGGGTGAGATTTTCGCTCTCAACGAACGCATCGAGGCTCTACAGGCGAATCTGCGGCAGCGGGACCTATCCATCTCTTCAGTCATCGCCGAAAGTGACGCTCAAAAACTTAAACTTAATGACGCTCAAAAGAAATTAGACCAATTACAATGTGAAAACGCAACTAAATCAAAACAAATAGACAATTTAAACTTAAAGTATAATCTCACTAAACAGGAAGTTGCAGAACTCAAACAAATTTCAAAAGACAAATGGGTTGACGATAATGTTATTAACGAATATTTTAAGTCAATGCAAAATAGTGACTGTAACAAAGATCAGTGCTTATTCCTTAGCCCCACCGTATCTTTTTTAATAAAAGCGAAAAATAATAGTGTTTTGTCAGATGTTTTAGAATCTACATCCTACAAATCATGTAATTACCTTTTCATAGCTGTAAACAACAAAGATGAAACAAGTGGTGGTGACGGTTCTCACTGGTCTTTGGTTTTCATAGACAAGAGTAAGAGTTATGCTTATCACCTCGACTCTGCCTTGGGCTTGAATGCGTTATCGGCAAGTTCTATAGCGACTAGCTTTGATATTCCTGCAGAGAATGTTCTTACCATGCGTTGTTTTCAACAAAATAACGGATTTGAGTGTGGGATAAATGTTATTATGCATGCTAAGTTAATATTCCACTATTACTGCTGTCCCAATGTCCATAAGCCATTTCTGGAATGGTTTCAACTCAATTCTAATCTGGACTCTGTACCTAATATTAAGGAAAGCGTTAAAGACAGTAGTATTGTTAGCGAAATGTTATGTGCAAGTAGCGTTAGCAATGTTTTAATACAATGTTCCAATGTCAGTCCAATCACAATCAAGAAGTGTCCAAATGAGGATTGGACACTGGTCAAAACCAAAAATAAAAAACACAAAAGTAAAAGAAACTCAGCTATGTCAGCTGCAAACCAACCGGCTACTGTTAGTTGTAATAATAAGTATAGTAGTCTAAGTTTTAAAGAATCTAACAATGTAAATAGAGAACAGACCATTGTACCTAAAGAACATTGTTCTTATATAAAAAAATGTATCGGGTTTATGGAAGCAAAAAAACCAAAAGAATATAAAAAGGTGCAAGTCACATTCCAATCATGAACAAATTGTCAACATTAATCAAGGCCCTAAGCATCAGACTTTTGTAGTGAAAGAAAACGCCACCAGTGATGTAGTTGGATCATCTGATTTTAGATCAATCAATGAGACTACTACTCCCTCTCTAAACCTTGACAAAAACCAGGAAACTAAAAAAAACAATCAAAACATTCTGTTTATTGGTGACTCAATTATTCGATTTGCCACCAAAGAGGTTTCCAAAAAGGGTGTTACAGTATATTGTTGTCCTGGTGCTAAAATAAAGAACATAAAAGATAAACTTTGTAAATATAGAACTAAGGAATTAAATGTAATTGAATGAACGAAGTGAATTCTCATACTGGGGTGAAATGCATCTTTATGTTGATCGAAATCTCGAGAATGCCTAAAGTTATAAACTTGATGTGTTGCACAAAGATTCTATACCACTTTATCTTGCGACCATTAGTTGTTGAAAAATATTTGTTCCGTAATTATTATAAAATCTTAAAAAAACATTTTTAATTTTGTCCCATAAGATTAACATTATGAGCTACCTTCTTCTTCTTTTTATTTGTTTACATTTTACGACCTACAATTTTGTCGTTTACTTGAGACAAAGAGAACGACTACTCTTTCATCCATAGAGTAACAGTCAAACCGTATTCACATTATAACTCTACAATTTCTAGGATAATAATGTATTTACGAAAATACTGGCAGGAGTTAACAAATTATCTACTAAAATGTATCGCAATTGATTGAAAAATAAATATTTACATGTTTATTCTACAAGCTACGTTTCTTCAGTAGGCAATGCTATATAATAAGTACGACGCGACGGTAAACGATGCCGTGGGTGAAAGTCTACTAACTTATTGTTTCCTAACTTGCTAAAAGTTAAGTGTTATCTTTGACTAATTAATATTAGATAAGATTTCACTATCTAATAATCAATGGTTTTAGTTATTTTCGTTCTGGTTGTTCTAAATTAAATTTCAGTTCTCGCGTCGGTGGCTTTATCTATTCAGTCAGTCATTCAAATGTTGCCCCAAAATATTTAGATAAGTTACTGTACTTTCATATTACTGTATAGTGATATAACATAAGTACTAAGACTTTTTTTATCAAATAAGGTTTTTTTCATTTAATATATCTTTTTTTTCATCGGTCGTCTGCAGTTCACTCGCTAACTAAGACAGAATCAGAAATGCTGCCTTAAGTTAAGTTTAGTCTTAGAACATACTCCTCAAGGTTTAGTGCATTCTGCTAATTGATAATAAGACGGCAACCTAAGTAGGTTTCAAAAGTTTGTGAATAAAATCCTATCCATTTAAATTACGTAGGTAAGTAATGCAATCAAACTGCATTTTAGATTCAACTCAAACCTCATTCATTAAGTTAAGGTTAACCTAAAACAAGTAGACCCAGTTCTGATGAAGAGTGGATGAAACTCAGCCAATGGACACAAGAATAGGCAATAGGAAGGAGCTTTCCCGACTTTGACTTTGGTCTGAATAAGTGACAAATTTTAGTGAGTTTAATATTGAACTCTCAGTCGACTATGTGTAAACTGAGCTTCTGGACCCTTCATCAAGTATTGAACACTAAATACTGTAGGTCAATAAGTGGGAACCTACTGCTTCAAAGAGCTAACTTAGCCCACATAAAATAATGCTGCTAAGGGCCCATAACAAAAGGACTACGCAGATAACCAAGAAGTGAAGATCAAGACGTACGGTACGAGCAGACATGAAATTGGGCTCACAGGTCTTCATCGATTGTACCAAGGCAGTGGAAGACAGACAATCAGAATGCTGAGGTAGATAATCTTAACTTCAAAATATAGCCTAAACAGTATAAACTTTTGAAGGAAGGCGGTGAAGCGAGGAAGTGCTGTGTCATGTAACGTTGTTTTGTGTGAAGTGTGTCTGTTAGATTAATTGCCTAGACGGCCGTGTTGCCTAGCCTAGGTATGGCCTGTCAAGTGTTTTGTTAAAAATCTGTGTCTAATGATGTCACAGTACTATGCTTATTTGTTCATACAACAATCTGTGTTTAATGTGTTTTTCACCGTCAAAGAATGTAGGCCTACGGTAGAAAGTTTAAACTAAGAAAGGTAGGCCTTAATATAACCCTAACTTACCTAAATAGACCCATCGATGTATAGACCTAAAAAAGTAATGTATCCTATAACTTTCTTTTAGCTACTATATATCTGTGCCCTAATAGTAGGCCTACTTAGATTAAGTTACCCATCTTCAGGGGAACAGTTTCGCAGAGAACCTAGCCTACGATAATTTATCAGATGAAATATTTTTGTTTAACTTAATATACCCTATATGCGATAACTTATCGTAATCGGTTCACTTTTAGGCGATACAACTTACCGTACCTATTTATCATGTAGGCCAAGGCCTATTTCAATATTGAACAATTTATGCCTAAGATCTTTTTTTAAGGAGACTCTTTACACTGTGTAGCCTACTTTTTAGTTTATAATAGGCCTAATAACAAAGGTAACATTTCTAAAAATCAACATGAATCTTTTGTGTATGTTTTGTTAAAGAGATAAATTTTTAAATACACAAGTTAGGCTACGGTAAGTTAACTTTGATCTTTTTCATGAGTTTATAAAAATGTAGGCAATTTTTCTTACCTATGTTACCTACTGGGTAAGTTACAGTTTCGCAGAGAACCAACAATAACTTAATTATTTTATCAGATGAATAACTACTTATCGGTTTGATTTTAACTTAACTTAATATCGTAGGCCTAGGCCTATTGAATTTAAGTTCATCATACATTTACCATAGGCTATGATAAGTTATAAATAAAAAAATAACGTTTAAAAAATCCCACTTCCCAGAGCCATAGGTACACCTACCGAGGTAACCAAACATTAAAGAAGCATTTTATTGTTTTATCCTTGGTTGTTTTGTTATTAGGTAGGCCTAGGCCTATTTGTTTTGTTTCTTTTGGGTACACTTCCATATCTGTTGGCACAAACAACCGAATGAGTAATATAGATCGATATATCGAATTAAACAATCAAATAATTAATATTACTCATTCGGTTGTTTGTGCCAAAGATATGAAACTGTACCCTTTCTTTTTAATAGGCCTAACTTATTACTTATTATTGGTCGAATTGTAAGTTAGTCCTAGACAGTAGTTTAGCCTAATTTCTTAAATAGGTATGAACAAAAACCGTACCAACCATAAATCAATTTGATGTTTAGCGACATACATTGGAAAAAAAGAATTTTTTTTAATCGAAAAATTGAATCGGATAAATATTGATATTCATTGTTAAGATTAAATGTATTTAGCTTACTCATCCGATAAAATATTTGGCAATTATTTAGTATGTCTACATTGAGAAATGATGTAATTTTTAGATGTTTCCTTACAGTATTTTTCACGCTGATTCCAAAAATGCAATCCGTTTTTGTCGGAAAGATTCCTAAGTGGATGTAAAACGAAGGCTAAAATTACGAATCTAAGGTTCATTTCGCGGTTCGGATGGTAATATGGCGTGGTCTGGACGGGTCCGAATGTGGGCTGAGGACTGTGTGAGCAAAGCAAACCGCTGTTTATACTTGACTCAATGCGGAATTAAATCAAATTGTTTTGAAACTAAATAATCAGCTCTTAGATAGGCATGTGGGGAAGGTAGGTTGGGTTTTATGTGAATTTGTGACTGTACTAAGTGTTTTGAAGTTAGGTTCGATTAGGAAGGTAAAGTTTAGGCTATAACGAACCGGCTCATTAATTTATGCTACCTCCAGACTGACTGTCTTTGCACAATTGAAATAGTGGTTGAAACACAATGAAATAACAATATAAAAAATGCTTGCAATTAAACAAATTGAAATACTGTATTTATCTTGTTATTTTTACCTTAAATTCAATTTCCATAGGTAGGCCTACAGTACTTGATTTGTTTCTATATACAGGCTTCTATTCTTCTGGTAACATGGTCCTACAGGTTAAAATACTTAAATAATAACATTGTTATGCATTTTAAATAGTAACATTGTTTTGCATCTTCCCTTAAGAAGGAGTTCCAGATTACTTATAAAGAAAATGATTTTTATAAAATAAAAAAGAATATAAGATGTTTTAACATTAAAACCTAATGAACTATGCATTAAAAATTCAATAAAAATTAAAAAGTGAAAAAACTGTTAGTAAAAGTTTTGAACTTGCCCGACCGGGATTTGAACCAGGGACTCTAGCATTGAACTCCGATCACTTGGCCACTACACCACGGCCACTTCTAATCACTTATTGTAACGAAAGCCATTACGAATACGAGAATCTAGGTCTCGTAATTGTAAGAACATTTCCCAAATATTGTCTTGCTCGGTAGAACTTTTACCAAACGAAATTCGACCTACTACAACAGTTCCTACAGATTTAATCATTTATTGATCTCATAGGCCTATCTATCAATGAAGTGAAAAATTGGAATATTTTAAAGAAAATGTCAAGAGGGGTTCACCAGTTAATTAATAATAAAAAAAGTAAGCCATAGATAAGTTAGGCCTACACACAATGTTATCGTAGGCTAACTTAAGTACTTTAATATTTTTTTTTAATGGTCCTTTACTTATGCTAAAACAAATGGTTGGCAATTTGTTATATGACACAAAAACAACATTGATTGTGAAAGGCCTACAATAAACAACACTCTACAAACCAAACAAATTAAAACTATTTTTTTTACTCATGCGTTAATTTAGTTAAAGTTTTTTCGTTTTCTCTGTCAATGGTTACTATCTTTTATAGGCTTGGATTTTATGAGAATAAAGTGTGGATAACATAAAATGTTAGTTTGTCTCTTAAAACACAAATTTTACCAATTTCATATTCCATATCTGGTCAGATCTGGATGCCAGATACGATCAGATCTGTGATGCCAGATCTGAACTAATTCCATATCTGGTTAGATATGGGTGCCAGATCTGGAATATGTCCAGATATGTCATCCCAAATCTGGCCAGATATAGAATCCAGATCTGGGACCAGTCCACTTTCCCATAAGGGTTACTAACACCATTTCATGGCATCAAACTATTGAATATTATTCATAAGAATTCCGAATTAACCTCAGTACTCAAATTGCCATTCGCGATAGACCTAGGGTACTCTTGCATTACTTGCTCTAGCTTTTATAATTAAAATTATTTCTTCAATTTATGATAGGGCCAGGGGCCATCACATAAGGTTTAAAATCTTGTAAATGTTATGTTTTTTTTTAAACTTTTATGGTTGATATAGGGGATAGAGTCTTACTGTTATTCAGTGCTCGATTTGGGGGGAATGCAGTGGAACGGAGTTCCGGTACCTCTCTTTCAGAAAGATAAAAATATTTGCATAAATAGTTACCTACATAAATAGATATTTCATTACATTTCATTTGACTTCAGTTAAAAAAGGTAGCCTTAAAAAAACTTGAAATGAATGATGAACGGTTTGATGAATATAATAAAGAATGGTATAAATATTAATAATTCTCTCAATGCACCGTAACAACGTGGTTACAACGAGGTTTTTACCGAAAAGTTTGCCGAAATCTTTAAAATTTGAATTCAGGGGATTTGGTGGGTAATCAAGACTTGATTCCGGCTAATTCCGGGGATTACCACCGGATTTTGCGGGTAAAATGAGCAAATTGTGTTGGCAACGCTGGTCATCACTGCCACTATCGCCGCACGAACTTGCGGCTGGCCGCAGAGGCAGGTTAAGGAGCACCTACATGGAATTGTCTTCGTTCATTCTCATACGCGACTTCGGAGCGTACTCCTAGTTTATATTCATGTTGGGACTAATAATCTCAAAATTTGTTATAATGGTAAAGCCGGCTACAATGGTGGTGATGGAAAGAGAGAAGCCCTTCACGATATGGCCGACCTCCTGTTCACTGCAAAAACACTCTTCCCTAAAGCTATGGTTTTTGTTAATAGCATATTAATAAGACGCGATTTAACGTACAGGGCTCTCTTCGACTTTAATGACCAGCTAGAACTGATGTGCAATAACTTTGGTGTTGTATTTGTTGAAGGAAATGTTTGGGTCACGAGGTATCATCTTTCTAGAGATGGTAGACATCTGAACAGTAAAGGTAACTATCACTTGGGAAATCTGTTTTCTTCTGTCCTTTCTGCTATTTTGAGCACACAACAAGTCTGTAACCCTACGACCGTGAATCCTAACAGCGAAGGCAGCACTTCATTGGGGAAAACATTGTCTGAGTCTCCTAAAATTATTGCAGAACCACAGTTGCATTTTTTAGATTGAACCAACTTCGTGGTGACACATTCAATATTCCACTTGTTCCTAGTCTCAAGATTGTTCACCACAACGTCCTTTCTAATAAGCTCGATAGTCTTCAAATATTCCTTGACTCGGAGGAACCTGACATCGTTTGTCTGTCTGAACATCATTTGAAGGATTCAGAATTTGAGGTCACCGCTTTGTATGGGTTTAAAGGTGTCACGGCTTATTGTAGATCGTCTTTCCAACGAGGAGGAGTGTGTATATTTTCAAAATATTCCTTAAACTGTGAGGCCATAGATGTCTCACGCTTTTGTGTTGAGGGTAGGTGTGAGATCGCTGCAGTTAAGCTAGACGTAAATAAAGAATCGTTTATAATAGTTGTCGTATACAAGCCACAACCATTCTCCTCTTCATTGCAAGAACATGAATATTTTAACAATTGCTTATCTAATTGTCTAGGAAGACTTCTAAAGCCAAATGTTAGAACTGTTGTTGTAGGCGATTTCAATGTAGATCTGTCCGTTTCAGATATCAAAGCTGATAGGCTGGTAAACATGATGTCATCTCATGATTTGTGGAATAGAATCACAGCATACACAAGAGAATTCAAAAACTCTAAAACTCTTACAGATCATGTGTACACCATCGACATATAAAACTAACTAGTTAGTTTTAGTTTTAGTTAGTTTTATATACATCGATGGTGTACACTGACCTTCCAGTCGATCGCTTGAGTTGTTATGTAATGGTCACTGCTTTGTCTGATCACCATGCCTAAGTAGCATGGTGATCAGACCATGCTAAGTTGTTAAGTCACGAGATGGTCGTGAGAAAAACCACCCTAGTTGCACTTTTAAACGCTCATTTTCTGAGGATAACATCAGAGTCTTCAAATACTTTCTCAGCAACGAGACCTGGCTTGATGTTTTTGAAGCAGATTCTGTTGATAAAAAGATGGACCTATTCCTATCTTCCATATCTTTTTATATTGAACGATCCTTTCCAGAAAAAAAGACAAAGATTCACAAGCTTCCTTCACACAGCAAAGTGCCCTTGAATGAACAAATACTAAAACTCCGTGATACTGTTGCTCATTGGTATTGCTTAACAAAGGATATGGATTCTTCTCACGTCATGAGACAACACTTTCTCTCGTTGAAAAGACAGTATAGGAATAGTATCAAAGCTGCCAAGTCATCTAAAGTGCTTGATATTATAAATAAGTCTGCTAATAAAACCAAGACTGTCTGGGAGATAGTAAATGAAAATAGAGGCTTGAGGAAACCATCTTCTCATATTTTCAACATCAAGGATGAGAGTGGTACAAGTATTAGTGATCCAAAATTGATCTCTAATATGTTCAATAGATTTTTTGTGGAAGTGGGTAGTGGAAATGTAAATGCTTGCCGAAATTCTTCCTCTAATTTGGAGTCTGTTTCTTCTGAAACCTCGTTTTTCTTAACACCTGTAAGCAGGTAGGAGGTATTAGAATTAATCAAGTCCTCGAAAACAAAGCCATCATCAGGCTGTGATAGTGTGTCATCAAAGCTACTGAAGTCCTGTTGTGAATTTTTAGTAGATCCTTTAGTTCATATCATCAACCACTCCTTTCAAACGGGAAGTTTTCCAGACGCAATAAAATTATCCATTGTAAAGCCAGTCCACAAGAAAGGCAGTGTTCATGATCTAAATAATTTTAGACCTATTTCAATAACTTCAACATTTTCCAAAGTGATTGAAAAGGCATTTTTAAATAGGTTGTTGACTTTCCTGAATCACAACAAACTTTTGTGTCCCAATCAGTTTGGATTCGTCAAAGGTGGGTCTACTGTCAATGCAATGTTTTCAGTAATCGATAGGGTTGTGAATGCATTAGACAAAGGAGCATCGGCCTCTGGAGTCTTCTTTGATCTGCGGAAAGCTTTTGATATGGTATCTCATGATTTATTGCTAGAAAAGCTTGACAACATTGGAGTACGAGGAGTAACGAATTCATGGTTGTCTTCTTATCTCAGGGGACGAAGGCAAGTCGTTCAATTACCATACACAGAAAATAACACCCTGAAAAAGTGCAATTCTGATGTCTTGTTTTTCAAAGCTGGTGTGCCTCAAGGTTCCATTTTAGGGCTTGCTTTATTTATCCTGTACATAAATGACATCGGTAATTGCATTGCAGATGCCCATCTATGTCTATTTGCGGATGACACATCAATTGTTTTGGAGAAACCTACCCACAATGCTATGGAAGTAACCACTTTTTTGGAGTCCAATAAAATCGTCCAATGGTTTCAGGATAATGGTCTCGTCATAAACAATGACAAAACTGCCTTAATTGACTTCAGCATATCATCAAAGAGTAAATCTAATCTCTGTGTTTGGATTGACGATGTTGCGGTGTCATCTGTGAACAATTAGAAGTTTTTAGGGCTTAACATTGATAAGAATCTGAAGTACAAATGTCATATTGACATTGTTGCACAAAGGGTGAATTCCGGAATTTTTGTTTTACGTCGGCTGGCTTCATTTGCAGAAAAAACTATTCTTCTCTCAGCATACTATGCAGTGGTTTTCCCCTATCTCTCATATGCAGTCACGGTATGGGGATCTGAAACATGTGCAACAAAACATATTTTTACGCTCCAGAAAGAGGCAGTTCGGATCATTGCTGGCATTGGTAGAAGAGATTCATGTAAATCGGCTTTCATTCAATTAAGAATACTCACTTTTCCTTGCATCTATATCTACAACACTTTGATATTTTTAAAGCAAAACCATAGTTTTTTTGAACCTTTATTCCCTCACTCCAATTACAATACCAGGAAAAGAACTGATTTAAATATCCCACAACACAAAACTTCCTTTTTTAAACGCCATATGTTTTATAATGCTATAATGTTGTTCAACTCGCTGCCCAACAAGCTTAAGTCAATAAGTGACATCAGCTTATTCAAACGAAAAATTAAAATATTTCTAATCGAAAAACGTTTTTACTCTGTAGAAAATTATGTTAAAAATAGGTGGTAAAGAGGTTTGTTACTTATGTGAATGTTGTATTTTATTTCTTGTATTGTATTTGAATAATGTGACTCAAGCCATGCATGTTACTGTGTTTTATACGGCAATAAAGAACTTTTGATTTGATTTGATTTGATATTCACAGAAAACAGAACATATTTTACACCAATGAAGTTGATTTGAAACAGTCGAAAATCCGATAATAGCACTATTAGATCCACAAAGTATTTCATACAAACAGAGACGCGACAAGTTCGACGTTATGTGGACGCTATTGTTCCGAAGTACCTGACCACTCTTTTGTCCGGGAATGCTGTTAAAACATTCTTATGTCGACCAATACTTTTCGCTCGCACTTTATTTCTACCGACAAATTTCTGTTGGCCTTCAGTAATGTATACTGTATAGTTTTATAGTTAGTTGTAGAGTAGTAGTAGGGTAATAGTGTGTATTTCTAAAGTAATATATATATATATTTGGCAAAGACATAACTACCGGTACCGAACTTGAGTTAGCTAATCTTACTGGAAATTTCCTACACTAAAACAAGTTAATTACTATCAGAAATATATTATAACTTGTTTATAATCCAAACTGTGCACGTATACCATTTGTTTGGTAAAAATTATTGGCTCTTGTTGAGCTTAAGGCAATCAAATCACCCATAAATCATATTCGCCTCTTTACATAACATTATTCAAAATATGTATTTAATATTTAATCTTAACCCGGAATTCCTCAAGTGAAATACTTTAAAAAATAACGATGAATAATGCAACTTGTAGTCACACTCTTGAATCAAATACGGTGATAATTCCGTCAGCCTTACATTATATAAAAATAATTATGTGGTTAGATTCATTTGTATGCAATTTTATTACATTTCATCTTTACAACACATATTATTAAAACCCTAACGGTAGCAAAAGCCAATTACCTTACATAACGCATTTTAGGGTGTAGTTACGGAATTAACGTCTTAAGAAGACTAGCTTAATCTTTCGATAATTAATTATAAATCCCTTTAATAGGCTGTTATATGCATCCATAATATAAAGACTGAGAGCCTACATACTATACAAAAAAACGAGTCGGAGATACGACACGAGCATTGACCCGTCTTATTACAACCAATAAAGTTTGACAAAATATTTTTAAGTCTTTAAATTTTATTACTATTACAATAAACTAATGTCCAATTTTCACTACGTCATCACCTAGAGACCGCGAGTGCATGTCCACTGGTCACCTACCCTATGTATTTACGGCCACAGATCCGTGATTGCACGTTCAGTGGTCGCTGTAACAACTCTCAAGGGTAGACAGACAGTGGACACACGTATATCAATACTAATGCGGTGACTGTGTATTGATTTCACCACTGCATGTTTTCCTAATAATACTCTCAATACATTTTTTCCCATGGAAAATCAATAACTGACATGTTTTCCCCTTGGAATTAATTTATTAGTAGTATTAAGATGAATTGGCTATATTTCATTACAAAACCTCCTTTAATAGAGAATTTTTCATACAGGATTAAACTATTACCATAGATCTCATGGCAAGACTAGGACTCGGGACCAATTTACTTTTTATTTTGAGGTCTTCGGAGGTCAAAACACTATCAGTTCAATTCATAACTTTATTTAAAGGAAATTATCACTTCAATGACTACATTAATCTATTATTTGTACTAAAATGGATATTCTATTGTGTATCTGACGGGGACACAATCATATCAAGTTACATTTCTTAAAATCATACAATTATAAGAATATTTTTCAGTTATTGAGTAGTGGTTCGTACTAGTCTAACAAATAAATGAAACCACAACAAAATTTTCACACCAACCGTCTTAAGACTTAAGTCCCTCAAAGCTGTGGTTCAGAATCAAATGTTTGTTATCCAAATGGTCGTGTTTCCACCATTTGAATTTGCGGTGTTTCCTTAAGAGATCAGAACGTATCTAATGGTTAGATTACAATATGAAAGATCGTTTCACCCACTTCGAAGTGAAAGAAAGAAATTATGACAATTAAAACTCTTAAACCTACTACTCTTACTAACTCTACGATAAAGAAAATATCATAAATGTCATTATTTGGCCACATGTCTTTGGCCACAAAACTTTACTATATAAATATTGTAGTGGGAAAAAGTTTGAAAATAGCGTAAAATTACGACAACAAATTCCTGAGATCGTTTTATATGTTAATATTTTTACAAATCTAAAAACCTTTAGACTCATGTTTTTTAAACCTATACTGAGACTAAAATAATGTTACTGTTATTATTCCAAACTTATACACTTGGTAAAAATACCTTAATTTAAAAACAAGCAACTTCATAAACTTTAAAGAGGAGTCTTCGTACAATTTCAACACATTTATGCCTAAGGAAATGGAATCAGAGAGTAATAACTACTAAATTGGATCCATGTTCTGACAGCAATTACAAGCAAATGTGAAACAATACTGCAATCAACTTGTTACGACAAACTATAATCTACAGAGATCTGGAGTTATACCCATTAAGTCGAGTTATGAACCTTCATAAACCATTTATACTGTCAGCAGTTTTTTTAATAAATTTAATTTTCAAACCGATGTTAAATATAACTTTTTTTTTATTTTGACGTTAAATAAAAATATAATAACGGTCACTCATAAAAAAATAACTAAGATGGCACCATCCACAACACTAAACCTTTTGATGGTCACCAGAATTTTATCCCTCTGGAATTTCACCCCCTGAGCACAGCTGTCGCCGCTATGGTAGTGATCTGAGCGCTCTATAGATTGATCCCGGGCGTTTTTTACCGCTGCGGATTTGGGAGTCTAATGAAAATAGACAGAGCGTGATAATTTAGATTAGCAATAAAAGCCGGAGTTTTATCCCCTGTCCATATATGAATGAACCTACTGTAGGCTTTGCCCCCGAATAATAACACTGTTAAGCATATGACAATTGTATTGGTGATATTTTTCACAGAAATAGTGGGATAAATTAAGTTTGTACATGTTTTGAACTATTTTGATATTTTGTTTACAAATTTAATTGGCCTAAAACATTTAATATAAACAGCTGTAAATAATAGATAACTGATAAAACGTATTTCTATAAAAACGCCAAATATATACAAAACTAATTATCTATTGCCAACAAATTCTATATCTGTACAGGGAGTAGAATTCAGAGGTAAAAATCTGGGCCGTACATTTTGAGCTAAACTCATGAGGGGGTAAAGTCCGGGGGGACAAATTCCGGCCCTTTCACTCTAGGTTTTATAATTTAATATGTTATGATTAAGTTCACAAATGTGAAAAGATGTGTTTAATTCCACCTTTAATTGAATCAACTTAGGTCGCGCAACGCAACAGTCCGCGGCTCGAATTTCACCCCTAGACTTTGAAGTCAGTTTTGCTCAGGGGGTGAAATTCAAGGGAGATAAAATTCCGATACCCCACCTTTTAAAGGAAAAAAAAAACACTTATACTTTCTATTGGCAAGAAAACACAAGACTTTTTAGCGTATCGAGTAGGAGAAACAAGATTAAGCAGTCTTTATTCCACTTTCTGCATACAATTCGCTAATTCAACTAAACTTAAAACTAAAGTTTCGATACGAACTTAGAAATATAAATGTTAATATTTCAATTGAAAAACGTTTGGTTCCTTTTCAAAGAGTACATTACCAGTTTGATTTCGGTTTGAAACTTTTCCATTGTGGTCTCAATTTCACCCTTTCGTAAATATAAGATGCAGTGATTGGTTGTAATAATTGTAATAATAAAAAAATGAGCTTTAGTCTAACATTTTTTTAATTATAAAAAAAATAATGAAATATATCTCCCTTTAACAAAATAAATACCCAAACAATATATTATAATTAGTATATAGAATCATAGATGGCGCAGTGCTGAAAATAATAGTGACACGGAAATTAATAAGGGTATCATTTGTCCAGTTTTGATACGCATTGGTTTCTGCCAACACAGAGCCCAACT